ACACACACACACACGGATAATATTTATTCTCATAAAAACTCACCCAGAGTGGAAGCCACCAAAGCCAAGAAGCTAATGATCCTGATCATGTTGTACACAAGCACCTAATGTGTTGCTGTTGTTCCCATTAGGTCTCTCTCCATGCTTTATATTCTCTCTAGCATCTGTTAAATTTCGCAATTCATACAGGTGCTTCCGTGCAGTTAGGAGGAGCTCAGGAATGTTTGTATTTGTCATATGAGTACAACAATTAAAAAAGGCCATTATTATTTTCCTCACGTGCCAGACTGTAATAGGTGGGTCAGCCAAAAACAAAAACAAAAGGGATATCACCTACCTTTCTGTGAAAACAAACTCTTTTTCTTTTCAACTACCTTTCTTTCTCCATGAATGCATTCAACTGCAGATATTAGAGTGTTGCATATAAAGCAGGCTGTTCTGAAATGTTCTGAAAATTTCTAACAGACCTTTACATTCCTTCTAGCATGAAATGAGACATGAGAAAACATGAGTCAAGATATTGAGTAAATACTATGCTTTATTTTTATTTGAGTCATACAAGAAACACTGAATAATGAATAATGAATAATGAGTATAACAGCTAACTGAACAAGTTACAAGGCCTCACCTCAGCTAGGTATTCTGTTGTAATTATAGCATGACTAACCTTGTAACCATTAAATAATAGCTTACTGATAGAATTACAGATCTTGAAACATGATGCTAAAGTCATATGCTAATGCTGTTTCGTAAGTGCCATATTGCTTTGGTCAAAAGCACAAGTTGGTCTCATCTGGCACATCTGACCAATGTGAGTTGATAAGAAGCCTGTTTGAAATGCAGCAAGTTGACATAAATCTAATTTTGCATTGGTTTCGGTCTATATGTGAGCATAAATGTTCTGGTATCAAGTTTAGTCCACTTCCTCAATGGTAGGGCCAGAGGAGGAACCACTTCCTGCCCCTCCAGGAAAGCCCCCAGGCATTCCACCCGGCATTCCACCTGGCATGCCACCAGCTCCCTGATAGAGCTGGGTGATGATGGGGTTGCACACTTTTTCCAGCTCCTTCTGTTGGTGCTCATACTCATCCTTTTCTGCAGTCTGTGGCACAAGACATAAGAAGAACTGTCTTGGAAGTTGCTCTTTGTTCTTTGCAGATGTTCTCAGCTCATTGTTTAATCCAGTGTTTGCCATCCCTTTTCCTGGAGGCATACCAACAGTATTTTCCAACTTTTCCTAATTCAATACACACCTGATTCAACTCAGCTCATTAGTAGAGACTCCAAGACCAGAAATAGATGGGTCAGATAAAACAGACAT